AATATTTTAATCATTACCTGATACAATTACAATATAGTGAATCGAACGACTCGTCACAGTTGATGTCGACCCGTCATACCGGAAATCGATTTGCAAGACACTTAGAATCGAACAACTCGTCACATATTGAATAGGCAGTGACTTTTTTCAAACCTGGAAACTATCATCGTGAAAGGTATACTTGTGCCCGGTAACTCATTCCTATTCTGATAAACTAGTTTTAAGAAGGATAAAATATTTAGGCTGTGCACAAAACTTTAATTTGACTAGAGCTCCAGAAAAACGGACTAAAAAGTGGTCATCAACAAAGAGAAGCGAACCACAAAGGATCCGAGAAAGAAGAGGAGGTAAGTCGTGACTTACTTGTTACAAATCTTTTTCCCCAATCTTCGTTTAATACTAGCTTCAGTTTATAATTCAGATTACGTTTCGGTAAAACAATGACTTTTACATTCATCGCTTTAAAACCCTCGCGCCGGTTCATCGCTCGAATAACTCTTCAAAATGTTTGTACTCTTCAAGCTATTTCTTCTCCTATCGTTTGGAATGTTTAATACAGTCGTTGTGTTCAGGGAAAAAAGTTATCTTACGAATTATGTTTCGCTTAGAAAGTTTTCAAATGATAGCGAATGGCGTGAGCAAGTTTCTATCATTCTCTCTTCAGTTAGCTATGGCAGGCTTTACATTATTTATTTTAAAAAATCGCGCTTCATCGAAGATTTGTTGTTTTACCCAAAGAAGTAAGTAATAGCCGTTCCCAAAATTGAAATTTAATGAGATTGAGTCAGCGGTGTCCATGTTTACATTAGGTCTGACGCGATAATTTGATTTTGACAATATTATAAAGTGAGAACCCATCAAACATCTGAGAATTAAATTACCGAGCGCAAATGTGTGGTGCAAACAAACTCACCGGTAAAATGGTGTTAATCCTACCGCGGGATAAGTAAATTCATTGTTTGGTCATGGTACGTTTCATGCTTCCTACTCGATTCGTTTGAACTTCAAGAAATGGTTTGTCTCACAAAACATGGAGCCACTTTCTCTTTGCTCAACGTCTTGAGGCGTACTTAATGCTCAGGTTATGATGAACGTGCCTGCGATACGATAATTTTTTCCTAATGCTGAAAACTGAAGAATCAATCTCTGAAGTTAATAGCCATCATAATTTGCAAGAGGCGTCCGAGCTGTGGTCGTGCAATTAAACAGGGTCCTGGAAATTTGAGCTCACAAGCACGCTGGTAAGCACATAGTTAGCATAAATAATTGTTGTTTGCAGTTTTGAAGTTCAGGAGCAGTTTTAGAGGGTCCATTTCTGTAACCTTCCTGGATATTTTCTGTTGAATTGATCAAATCAAAAAGTAAATGAAATGAGATAAATTCATCTTAAATGTATAAAGTACCTCCTGCCTGTAGTATTTTCTAAGCCACCTAAGATCCTACCAGCTGGAGGTACACGACCAAGGAACAGGAAGATATTCATGAAAAGTGATTCTAATGTAGTGTTAGACTAAATGGAATGCCAAAAAGTAGAATTTAAAGCAGACTAATAAAAATTGGGCAAAGGTAATTAAATATGCAAGCTGTACCTCTAGCCGGTAGTCTTTCCTAAGCGTCCTAGGATCCTACCAGCTAGAGGTGTAAGACTAAATAGGAAAGAACAAAATGTAAATGTATTCATGAAAAACGTGATTCAAAGGAATGTAAGACCAATTTGGAGTGCAGAAAAGTAAAATGTGCAGCAATACCTATAACCGGTGGTATTTTCGAAGCCTCCTGAGATCCTACCAGCAAGAGGTACAAGACGATAAGAATTTTATCTTGGGAATCTTTCTAACCGGTAGCTCTATGATAATGGCATTATAGTGGGGATGCTATTCGTAAGTTTTGTTTACCTTTGCAAGAGTTGGTCTTAGCGGTTACAATGTTGAGCTAAAACTATGCTGAACAAGAAACTTTAGATCGACGAAAACAGCGCGGAAACAGCTATATAAAATTTAGCGAAATTTCCTTGATTTAAACTCTACAATGTATCCTTCACATGTATAGCATGTAACAACGTTCATGTTTGGTTCAATCACATCACTTTACTGTTTGTAAATCCCAATTCGTCACTAGTGCTCCTCGGGCGTACCTCTAGCCGGTAAGACTAAGGCACAACCTGCGGCATCCGATACCCGATAAATTCAATATAAGAACCTTCGGTCGTTTCACGCCTTACCGGCTCCTGACACTTCCTTAAAAGAAAAGTCGCTCAAATCATGTTTTCATCGTAAACTGCATTTATAAAGCTTTCTTCTGGTGCATAGTTTGCGAGGATCTTATCGGAACTAGAGCGCGTTTGAATTTTTTTCCCGAGGAACGCCCGCGAAGGTGGGAAGTAACCTTAATTTTAGAGAGTTTTTCGGAAGTCGCTTTTAGGCCTTCACTTTTCTTTTAGTGCGAATTTAGCAAGAGAGACGCGGTTATTATAATTCTCGAGGAGTTTTCAGTCTCACTTGTTAGACTGCTTCAAAAGCTTCTGAAAAGTCGCACACTTTCTCTTGTTTTTCTTGCTTACATATGAGAATAGTTTTTTTTTTCGATCCGGTCACAAGCACAAGACAAAGAAAAAATGCTGAGTCATGAACCTCAGACCTTCGCGCCCTGATGCTCTGCAATTGAGCCACAGAGACTTCAAGGTGAGCTAAGCCATTACTGTATACTGCTAGGATCAACAATGTAGAAAGCCTCATGTGCCAAATAAGAAAATGGTGAATCTTCAGCTCGGTAATAAAATGAAGAAAGATGTTTTCTGCCTCCAGTATCACGAGCGTGGAACGAAGAAAATAAATAGGACTCACCATCTTTCTTACAATATTAACTCAAACGAAGCTTTTGAGACTGCTGATCCTAGCTGTTTGCGGGATATGTGTCAAATATGAGCTTAGTAAGAGCCTGAGTAAGCTAACTAGTAGCCTAGTGATAGAAGTGATAGAGCGTCTGAGCGCGGATTTAACTCATGAGCTCTCTAATTTCTATTTCATAACTTTCAGAGCCAGTTTATAGCTTCTATTTTGGCGGTAATTTCGAGGAGTTTATAGTCCCACATTACATGCATGACTTCTAGACTGTTCCTCTAAACGTCCCTCTACTGATCCAAACCCACAATACTATTTCTATTTTATGACGACCACGTAACTGAAAGATTCAATCCAAGAATACGGTGGAACTCGCAAATTTATTTGAGATTATAGCCTTTTAAACAAAATAATGAACAAGAAACTAACTAAAGAGCATGCTGTATTCTTCATAAAGCTAATTCACTAGATCATTCGTTATTTATAATTTTGTGCCATATATAATGATTCGATTCAGAGTGCAACCCACAATAGGCGACGTATTCCGAAGTGTTTCTCACCGTTCAAGCGGAGTGTGGTCTGGCAACAATCAATGGACGCGAAGTAATATGAAAGTAAATGCAAAATTTTACGTTCTAGTTTACAAATTTAATCTTTATAATTGCCCTGGAGCTCATTTATTGAAAGTTCCGGTAATCATTGGTCCGAAGATGCTGTTTTTCAGATATCAATAGCTTTGAAATTCAAACATAAAAAAAATTTACTGAAGAAAACAAAACAGAACTGGCTGGGTTTTGAGCGAATACCCGCTATGCTATTCTTTAGATTAAGATCTTAGAATATTACCCGCGAAGTTGCCAAAATTTACGAGAAACGAGCTCCTGGGATAAATCAAATCATTGTAGAGTACATGCAGTATTGTATAGTAATACGTTGAATAATAATGTCAATAATGTTAATAATGTTAGTTCCCTTTTGTCGTTGTTTGGTTTTTTTTTTGTTTTTTTCTTTTGTTTTTTTTTGTTGGAGTATCGTTCATTACCAAAGCAACACAATGTCCTGGATACATACGCCTAGGGAAATCTTAAGCAAAGCGTTCTTAACGCGAAGTTTAAGAAGATTTATTTAATTTTGCCTCTCTAGATTCTGGGTTGTTGGTTAAAAAAAACCTCAATATTTGACAACAAGCGATAACGTTTTGATAGTTTGATTATAGAGACCCACGTATCGCCTGCACTTAACAAACCTAAACCTACTACATTTGTTCGAATTTGAAATTTTAAACTTAAGTAAAAACGTACCGGCCAATCAAACTGAAAAAGCTAAGTAATTGAAACTCGGAGCAAGACTTGCTTGTGTAGTTTAATCGTCTGGGCGTGAGAAGTCCTGAGTAGGTAGTGCCTTCTTACCCGGACAATCAGACAGCTCCATCGAATTTAAGTACCAAAGCTGTTATTGAATTTATGCTAAAAGTCAAAACACATCTGAACACCTAACAATTATCAAAAGGAAATAAAAAAACATCCTTTCAGCTCCATTCCCAGGGTCCTCTCCATGTTATCAACGAGGTGGGAAGAGAAGGGCCTGGGATGGACATTGTCATTCATTCATTACCATTTGCCTGACCGTATAGAGGATGGCGACAAATTGGGCAGCTGCGACTGCAAATTTGAAGAAAACATTTCAAGTGAATGCAACTTAAACTTTTTTTTAATTAAACGCGAGAATATTCAAGTCACAGTAAAATCACGGGTAAAACTAAATGAGACTGCAAAGCTCACAATCGACCTAGCATTGCTGTGGATTCAGAACTGTTCCAAGGCTGCATGCAAAGTGTCGTTAGACCAAAACCCAGCCAATCACAACAGCCAATCGTAGTTAACATCAAAAACCAATGAGAGATTCAATTGAAACAAAGACAAGTTCCTTCAAAGGAAAGAGGAGGCAAAAAAACAATGATTGATTTTGACATTCCAATTCACATAGCCAGAAGTCGAGAGATGGACGGAGTTAGGCAATTTACCCCTGCAGCCTCCGCCACAACTTCACATAAAAATCCGATTCAGAATTTTAACTAGATACCGTCAAATGGAGGGGAGCACTAACGCGTTCTTCATTATGTTAGTTAATTCATAAAAAATCATGTCTTTGTGAGTATACTTACACGCCATTCTGTATCATTGCGATGGCACACTCTCTATGAACCTTGTGTGAGCATGGTAGGATTTGACAACCGCTGAATGCGTCCTGAAAATAAATGTTCCAAACGTCCATTAAGTAATAGTATTTACAGGTATTATACATCAGTTTAACTTTTACAATCATTTCTTTATCATTTTTTTTCTATTAAAACGCTACCTTTTGTACTCAGAACCTAGCTAAGAAAAACTCAGGTGCTCTCTTAATATGTTGCTATATTTGTCGCTCAAACATTGCATTTACCAGATTTCACTTTCACTGTCGACAACAAGGCCATAATTACATCAAAAGGAAAAAGCTTTTGGCCAATATTCCCCTTACAGAGCCGATTTTGTGTGCAACCAGTGTCACGGGTGTCTCTAGACAGTTTTTTTAAATGCATACTCTTACACTAGCAGAAAGGAAAACGTTTCAATGTATAAATGATACGAAAAGACATTTACCTTATTGTAATCCAGACTTAACGGCAGTGAAAACTGTGCAGTCGCTTTATATTAATCGAGTACAAACATTGACCAACAAAGCTAAATTTATAGATAAAACACAACAAATAACATAATGTTCCACAACGATATGAGAAAACAAAATATTAATAATACAGTACGACTGACGACGAAATCCACAAACACTGACCATCATTTAACAGGTAGACGCGACAAACAAGAAACGATTTCCAACAAACAAGACAGAGAAATCCCCTTCTCTGGAAGTTCTGCAGCAACACCGTGTTAGTGCGAAGAGTAAGTCATTACCTCCAAACAGATGCAGCACTCGTCATGTCCTGAATTTTCTCGGCAAGAATGTCTTCCTTCCAACCGTTTGTCCAGACAGACGTTACACACATCACAGTGGAAGGAGCGGTCCTTGTAGATACTGAACGGGAAATAGAAACATCACTTCGCAAGTATTTACTCAAGCACAACGTGATTCGTTGGGGAAACAAATTTCTAATTCATATTGATAAGCGCTGTATCTCTACTAGATAAGATGTAATAATTATTGAGGAGGAAACTTGATACGTGTGAAGAAACCAAAACTATGTTTTGTGGGATTTAATGAGGTGTTTTAACCACTCATCGATGAATCATTTCTCTGTAATATTTTGCTCTGGTTCTCAAGGCAGCGCCCGGATTCTTCATTCATACTGTAACACAAGTCAGTAACTCCTTGACTTGGTAGTTAAGCAGGCCAATAACTCCGTGACCCTTATTCTTTTGTACAACAAGCATTATATCCAAACAAACGAAAACAAAATTCGTCATGAATATTGTTTCACCTACCGGCAGATACCACATTTTTCGCAGTGATAAGGAGCTTTATCCTCCCCTGTGAAGTGCTTACACACCGAGCAGAAGTATGCTGAGAACCTTGTTTTACATCTGACACAGGTGTGGGCGTCCTGATTGATCTTAAAAGTCAAGCATTCGAAATTAAATCGCTTATAACCCAAGCTTAAGAACTCTCTTCCCTCTTATATAAAATTTCAAGTTAATGTCATTCCTATTTACCTCTTGTTGATGACTACAAACAGAGCACTCAACAGAGCACGCCTCTCTTGCTTTGGAATTATCATTTGGACACCCAGAGTTGTTATGACAACGATGACAAGGAAAGAACTTTCCGCAGCATGAGAACTTGACACGGCAGAGCCGCTGATAATGTTCACACAGCCATTGTCGAACCCCAGCACTTGCCGAGTCTTGCGAAGGTGTTTCTTGTCCACCACTCGTGGAGTTCCCTTCTACTCTTTCATTCATAAGTTCCGTTTCTCTCGCTTCCCTTTCTTCCCTTTCTTTTCTTTCACGTGCAAGTTGTTGTTTCCTTGCCCACTCTTCTTTTCTTTTTTGCTCCGTTTCTTTCATCGATTTCTCTCTTTCTTGTCTTTCTTTCAACGTTTTCTCGACAAGACTGCAAGCTTCAGCCACACGTTGCTCGAGTACGGCCAACGACTCGTCAGCAGATGTGTCTAAATTACTGTTTAACGGACCCTGACCAGCTCCTGCACCCTCCCCGTCCGGAAGAAATTCATCTTTTTCTTCAAACTGCGATGAGAACGTCGGCCGTTCGGCGAGTACATGTCCATCTGAGAAGATATTTGGCGAAATTTTTGCCCGTACATTACCAGTGGGAAACTCTTTAACTGTCAACGGGGGATTTGCTTTAGATCCATCTTGAAGGAAATTTGAAGATTGAGGCAGTCCTAAGGTCTTCGTTGGAACAGTTTTGGGCATCAGGACTAAGTTTAGGGATGACTCTTGAGACTGATAGCCATCCGAACTTAAGTAGATTTGTGCAGGAGATCCCATAGTGCTGGTATAGGCAAGATGATCTCTAGCATCGAATTTTTTAAAATCACGACATTCAGGAGATGTCGATGAACTTGGGGGAGTAGGGTGGTACACTTCAGACATACACCCAGATCTGTTGTACTCGGAGTGGGTGCCTGCAGGCGCTTCTAAATCTTCAAATGGACCATAAGAATCCCATTGCTTATCAGATGCATTGCACTCACATGAATGACGTGCGAGAAAACTGGGATCGATTCCGATGTGATCTGTTCCAAAGTCATCCTCACTCGGATCCCTTTGTGAAATGTGGCGTGACAGAGGATCGTTTCGGCGTCCACCTTTCAAACCAAGAGATATTTTTGTTTTCGAATTACTCTCATGGGAATCTCCTGGTGTGTTTGGAGGGACAACAGCTTGGATTTTCCAATCCTTGTCAAAGCCGGAAGCTCCATTTGTAGGAAGTACATCGCGGTTTTCACCGCTGTCTGCAACCACTTCTCCTCCATTAAGAACGTAATTCCATCCATCGCTGACTTCATTTGGTATTTCCAGTATCTTCTGTGAGATGCTGATTCCTCTGTTTTTATTCTTTTGGGATGGATTTTTAAGTCGATAGTAGTACTTGCCTTTACGGTTTTCTTGACAAGAAATTTTACCTGGTTCGTCTAATTCTTCGTTGCTGTCCCACTTGTTGCTGTCTTCTCCAAATGATGGAATATCAGGGCTCACAACTCCATCAACCCCGTCACAAGGAAATTCTCCCCGGCTTCGGTCAGGGCGCGACTTCAACTGAGAAACCTCTTGACAGTCCTCGCACAATAGTAACCTTGCAAGAGCGATATTACATTGCACCAAATCCGGGTGGTCTGAACCGTAGGCCAAACTTCTCAAAATACTTAATGCTTCTTCAAAGTAGTTCTTTGATGACAAGGTTCTTTCAATCAGAAAAAATCTGACACCTTGCCTATAGAGAAACGATGCATGTGTTGGGTGGTTTTTCCCGAGCGTTTCCTTGCAACTTGGTACAAAAACATCGAGGAAGGATACAAAGTCTAGGTTTTTCTCGTTCAAGTGATAATCAACTAAATTCAATATCGTCGCGAACAAGAAGTCCCAATGGAATTTTCCACTACATCCGAGGACAGCTTCAAAATCGGAAAAGAAAAATGAGAATGAAGACATCAGTGACGAAGCAGACGATGCAGATAACGATATTGATGACGAAGGTGATGAAGATGACGAGGATGAAACTGATGAAGATGATGATGATAATGATGATGATGATGACCCTAACCCTGACCCTGATGCTGCCGGAAAAGACTTTGACGAGGGCGATGGTGGTGGTGATGACGATTGAGGGGAAAGAGAAGGGAAAGTGAAGCGTTCCGCTATTTTCCTTGCAGGAGCCATATCTCCAATCTCTTGATACGCCAAACAAATTTTAGAAGATATAAAGTTCGAGAAAATTCCTTCTTCATTGATCATCCTATCAGATAGTGAATCCAATGTCCTCAGCTCCATGAGAGCTTTGACAGGTTCTTTGAGCTCTATGAACAACTCTGCTCTATTGTAATGTATAGAAGCTACCAAATGTGGGGGAATAATGGGGTCTTTGGCTTTCAGAAGAAGACGCTCTTGCAACATCACTGCAGCAGGGTAGTTTTTCTGACACTGGTAAGCTAAGCTTAAGTTGATTTGTATGGCAACAATGTATATTCCTGGAGAGTCAGTTTTGTTTTTGCTTTTAAATGTTTCAAAAATCTCCAGCGCACATTCTAGATAATCCTTAGCCCTGTCTATAACTCTCATGATCAGATAAACACAACCTACATTAGCCTTGGCTACTGCTCTTAAAATATCGATAATTTGCATGTTGTTTTCAGGACATGGCGTGGCATCAAATGTGAAAAGAGAATAACATCGCTGAAATAAGTCTATAGCTATTTTATATTTATGCAGCTTGAGTGCAACAGCACCAAAGACAATAGCAAAGCTGGCATAAAAATGGACATCCTTATCTGAGGTCAGCTCGAGGTTTAACAAAACAACACCAAAGAAAGGAGGGGCGGAACAATGACTCAAACACATCTTTCTACCTCGATCCACCTGCTCCTTCTCGTAGTCAGCCGGGTTTCTGAAGCTATCTGGGGTTAGATTCAGGAAATGCCTATATGCAGCTTGCAAAGACTCTGTGGCCGCTTTCACTTTGCATTGCTGGAACTGATATATTGTTTCTTCCAAGCGTTCAAATGTGCCGCGCCTGGCCGACTGATTGTCATCACATTCCAATTCATCCTCAAGATGGGGTTCTGAACTAGCGTTTTTCGGGATCTTGGGGTGTGTTCTGTCCATCTTTCCATGTCAAATGTATTACTCCTGAAAATAAAGTCAATCTTAGAAACAAATTGATCCATCATCAACAAATTTTTGATAATAAAAGCTGAATAATGCTGTACGTCAGCATTATTTTGCGTGTATGTGTGCACACCTTTGCGATGACGCTACCAAGTAAAGCGCTATTATCTTGAAGTTTGTTAGTATATGATACGCGTTCAGCTTGCTCCTTCGCAACTGTTCAGAGACACGTCACGCAACGCTCCTTCCCGCAAACGGCTGTTAGTGGGGAGAGGCGTTGCGTGACGAGTCCCAAAACGGCTGCGAAGGAAACTAGTTGGTCCACGAAACACAGAATTTCGTGACATACAAAATAATGTTGGGACTAAATTCACCACCAAATGGGGGAGGGGCTAGCTTTCGAGGAAACCACGCCACCACGCCCGGCGAAAGGCACCAAGACCCTCGAACTGTCTTATCCGCTTTTTTTCTCTAATAACCCGGTTCTCTAGTACACAACTCCGCTAGGATCCAAGCTTATTTCATTCTGTGTAACTCTGGTTGATTTCTTGGGTCCTTTGATTCTCACTGAATACTTCTTACTCACTTGTGCTACTTAACACTCACTTCAACTACAGCATTTTGTCTCTACACTAAGTTCCATAAGAAAATACTGATATATTATTGACACTACTGACAGATATGGATGGGCATGTTAGTTGGCTGACCTTAGGAGATTAAATATTTTTTGTTAGAACACTAAACCAAAGTACTTCAAGAGACTTTCGAAATGAACAACAAAGCCCTTAATCATAATTCTTCCGGTCAACTGAATCATTATCTGACTCTTAGCCAAACCAAGGAGTTTCTTGTAGGTACAAAGCAAGGTCAGTAGACAAACTGAGCACGTCCACTTATTTAATGCATCGACTGAAGAAAACAAAGAAGACGCCAGCAGAGTAAGTTGCGTTTGTTCAGCCTTCCCCTTGATTTAAAACTTATCTCGTGACTTTCCGTAATCATCGGAATAACCTTTAGGAAAATTTTAGCCATACCTGGTCAAACTGGATTGAGCTGATGTTCAGTTCAGGATAAGTACCTGTTTGAGCGGGCTGATAACGAAAGTTGAGAAACTTTGTCATGTGATCGAAGCTTGAATCATAAGGTTTCCCAGGTCAAAGGTTTATTTTCAGAACGTAGAACGTGATCAGGCGCATAATTAAAACTGACACAATGTGCTGAAACCAGATTCTAGATTATTACCCAACTGCACCAAGAGACTCGAAGTAGAATACAAATAACGGGCGAATCGAATCCAATTATCGTTCAACCGGCCGATTGCACGTGCTACGCTCTCTATCAGCTTCACTTTACCTCCATTAGGGCTTCTTTTGTTTATTTAAGAAAAAAATCTGTCAACAATAAGTGTGGAATCGCGTGATTTTTGCAACACTTCAAAAGATCCACTGACCTGCTTCGGAGGCTTCCAAATTTTGCCAAAACAAGCGATAATTTTTTTCAACCATCTAGGTGTCATGTTGTGCAAGATATGTTTGGATAAAGTTGCATCGTAAAAATAAATTCTGTTGTCCGCTGGTCTAGTACGGCGTGAAAAGGCAGGATTTTCCTCATCCATCTGACCCTTTTTCTTTCGAGGGAAACGAATTTGAGCTCTGCTTTTATTCAAATGTCTGTGGCTCGTACCCTGGGCACAGTTACACTGGCATCAATGTGGAGAACATATGGCTTCAACAATAAATTCGCCTTCTGTTGCAAGTATCGAAGCCAGCACGAGTAGCGCAAGCGTCAACCAAAACACAAAAGATCTTCCGGGAAAAAGGACCCGTTCTTGCATAGCAATTCGCGAGAGATTTTTTTTTCTTTTTGGAGCGAGATAAGTTTGTGATTGACGTATGAGTCAATCGGTGAAGTTTTGTTCAAAGTTTTCTGGTTTGATGAGACTGCCGCCAAAATTTTGACAGCGCAAAAATTTTGCCAATTTTGATTCGCGAAAAATTGGAATATATTTGAATTCGCTCTAAATGCGCCCTTCGAGCTCGTAAAAATCCGGCACAACTCGTAAAAATACAAGGCGATACTACACACATAAACGTCTGATAAGAGGTATGTACTCCAAAATATTTCAGAATGAATACAAGGCGATATTACACACATAAACGTCTGATAAGAGGTATGTACTCCAAAATATTTCAGAATGCTTCTGTATGTACCTCGCTATGCTAATTATAGAGCTGTGTTTTGCAAACAACAAGTCGCTATTATTTGGCTACTTCACTTAGGGTCATATATTGTGCATGCTGCCTTGGCGCTCTATTGTACATGGACGCCTTGCACTCCGAATTCCTTGGACAAATCAATGTTGATACATGCTAAAAAAGATAAGTCTTATCATTATAACGCCCGCAATGCCTCTGGGCAATATGAAGCGAATCCGTTTTTCTGAATGGCTACCTGAGCCGGCAAGATGGTGTTGCCGGCGTTAATCTCGCGCAGGAAAAAATCAATTGAAATGGAAATACAAAGTTCATAATTCATGTACGGTGTTGACGAAAGAGTTGCCACAAGTAACTAACACGCTCTGTCTCATTACTACATGATCTTACGTGTGCGCGACTCCGGAATCACATAAAATTTGCGAACATTCGTAGCTTGCGAGACAAAGATTGATTTCTGAAGAAATTGAAAACATTTTTTCGTCTCTTAGACTGAGGATCGGACAGTGATTAATGGGAAAATTGTCACTCAAGAGCAGCAGTTTCTTGAATTTTCCTCCGACTCATTTTTATGATGCTATTTTTAAAAACGAAGCATCAATCTAGCTAACAAACAAGTTGGATGTTATACACCCACAGGTATGTTTCTTTGCGGCGTCGACAAAACTTGGATCGGATCGGATCGGATCACGGGCCGGATCACGGGCCGGATTACGGACCGGATCTCGGACGGGATCACGGATCGGAGCACGGATCGGATCAAGGATTGGATCGCGGATCAGATCATCTTAATTGAAATTAGATATTTTGCACGACAAGTCAAAATAAAGTCTGCGTGACATAATGGAGTGCAGGCCCCAATGGGAGTCTTATTTTTTCGCCCAAGAACCCCATGTAGTCACTTTCACGGCTGTGTCGAGGAGTGTTGTGTAGTGCCACCATGGACGAAGGCAAGCGAAAAGTATGTATCATTTCATCAGTCAGTTAAGAAAAACGTAACATAATCCACAGTTGCTTCTTAAGATCCTTGAGCTTCCTCTGTTGCCGGCGCGTGAGGCACGTTGGAAGCAATAGTTTGCAAACTGATCCATCCTCGGAGACCCAAGGGCTGTGAGTCGATTTCAAGTCAGGGCGGAAGAGCCCCTGGGGACATTGTCTTACAAGACTAGTTCCAAACGGTCGCGGTCGTTCTGGTATCTGATTGTTGCCAGAAAATCTTTGTGTTTTTCTGCCCAATCAAAGTGAAGTATGTTTTAGAGTCCTTCTGTGTGTTTTAACACGGAAATGTACAAGCAGCTCAATTGCTCGCCTTGTTTGTTTGGGCCGTGCGATGAAGCTTAGCTCGAGGTGAAAAGTTTCAGTCTCAGCACACAATGTAAGAAAAATCGATCAAATTTTCCGCGAAAATCTTATCAGAAATTATACTGAATAATTTCTTAGGTATCACAGGAGAACGTCTTTAAAAGTTTGCGAGGTTCGTACAAAACATAATGGTTGCAGGCGTTAATATGTCATTTTAAATGTTAGACGAGATGTAAGCTTAAATCGTTCTAGATTTCCCGTGTAATTTGCTGTGAGTGAAACTTCGCCAATCCCGTGAAGTTATTTCGTCGCACGGGCCACGCAGGTATGTCAAGCAATTGGCGCTTATGCATACGAAGCTATCTGTGCGCGCCAAAATCTAACCCCTACACAGTAGTAAAGTCTTTCACAATATGGCCAAGACTGCAAAAAACGTTAAGTTCGTGGACGACCTCCAGCAAGCGCTTAGAGAGAGCTTAGCTGGGTTTCCAGATAGCGAACTAAAATCTGAACAAAAACTTACTATCGAGAACATTGTGGGAAGGAGAGATGTTTTCGGACAATTACCGATTATTTCAGTGACATTTGGTTTGTCACAAATTCCTCTCAATAACATTTGCGTTTCGCGGTTGTTCGAGATCAGCGGAGGGGCTGAATTGCCGCCCAGATCGAAGTCAAACCGGAAAAATTCCAAAACCCGTTTGTGTTTTTGACGAAAACCGAAAACCAAATGCTTAACCGCATATAATCCGCAAATCGAAATAAACAGCAAAACATAAAAAATCGAAGTTTTTGGAACAAAAACCGAAAAACCGATCTAAAAATAGCCAAAATAGCAAGACCGAAAATCCCAATGCCCCTCCTGATTGAAGAACGATACATACCTCTCGCTTGCCTTCTTCCGTTGCGGCACTACACAACACCCCTCGAAACAGCCGTGAAAGTGAATACATGGAGTTCTAGTGCAAAAGAGAAAAAATATCCCAGTGGGATGATACGATTCATGATCTGTGACATGATCCGTGATCCGGTCCGTGATCCAGTCCGTGATCGGATCCGTAATCCAGTCCGTGATGCAATCCGTAATCCTATCCGGTCCGATCCAAGTTTTGTGTGGATACCGGTTTCAAACTGTTCTTCTTTAAACACAAAAAAACATATCTTTGGGAGGCACACAACACGCAAAGAAGGCGCGTGAATTGTACACAGACAAAGCGATCATTCATGTTCAAAAAAAAAAAACGTCAAAGGCAAATCATCAAGCACGGGGACGAGAAGGAACACATACTCATCACAAAATATATGTACAGGTCAAGCTTCAAGCGGATCTTTCCCTTATAACAATCATGTGACTGAACAATTCTACCAGTTGCCCTCAGAACTAAAACTTTCAGAAAACGTTGAGGCTCGTCCGCCTTAATCGAAAAATTAATTGAAGCGAGTAATCAAAATGAAAAAATTCGACAAACCCTGGACAAACTCACCTACGTCAGCTTGAAAAATACCACGTATATCGAAAGCTTTGGCCCTCTAATCGTTGTAGTAGGAGGACGCACAGTTTTTACATCGAAAATTTATCGAAGTAAACGAATACAAATGCGTGCATTCATAATTGCCGAAGCAAACTTTGCGGTATGCAAATTTAATACAACACCGTGTTTGAATCCAACGATAACAAGAAAAATTCCCATTGTCAGATTGTTTTAAAGTACGTGGCGTCATGCCACACAGGGAGAGTAATCAGGGTAATCAGTAAGCTATGGATCAGCAGACCGCGAAATCTCCGGAACCAGCGGAATCTCCGGAAACCATACTTTTTTTTTGTAAAAGAAGAGTAAATGAGATAAAAGAAAAAATTTAACACTGTGTGAAAGTTCGTTTTTAGGTATAAAGGAAATTACTTTAAAAGAGAAATTGTTTTAATTTTCTTTGACGTCCAACTTAAATTGTGGCGACATTCACAGTACTAGTACAAGGGTACGTAATACCTTGAGGAGCAATCATTAGTCACCTACCCTGACTGTTAACAATTGAATAACAACTTGAAAGCTCTAACGGTTTGGTGACCGCGATATCCGAAAAAACGCTTCATCCGCAGGCTCTCAGCAAATCTTTAGGCTGGAATTTATTGCACATGACCCTAGAATGAGGATCATCATCGCACGCGATGCTTTTAGAATTTCGGGGTTATCAAGGCGTCTGGAGCGAATTTATAGCGTTTTGTCCAAAACCCCCATGTAGAACAATGTTAGGGTCTTTTTAGCTTTTATTTTATTTTATTTCATTATCATTTTTTCTAACAAACAGTTAATGGTTCCGCAAGTTCCGCTGCCGGGTTCCGGAGGTTCCTTTGGTTCTGGAGGCTGTGGAGGTTCCACGGTCTGCTTATAGTCATAGCCTATGACTTCCTGTTTAAAATCATCAAGCAGAGGGGAGGGAAGTGAATTAATAACCAATTGTTGACGGACACAAACCTCTGATGACAGGACAACAAGAATTTGTTTCACATCCTCTCGATCAGTAACAATTTAAACGCAGCAATTGGTTGCCCTTCTCGTCAAATGTGTAAGAACAATTTTATGAAAGCATATCGGCCACAACGGAATAACTCAGAAATCTTCTAGTGGTAGACGCTCGGCTTGGGGACGAGGAAGCTTTAGTATATCTGCCCCTTCCAAGTCTGGTCTCGGGCTCATGTTCCGAACATCGTCTTGTTATCGTAGACTTGAGTGGGCAAAAATGTTCAAAAATTATTTCCCCCCTTAGATATCTTGCTCATTATATCATCTCGTCCCATTTAATTTATATCCCCTACCTATCGGTAAATTACTGTTTCATTCGCGTCCCCAAGTCGATTTCAAACTACATAATCATCATGACAGGAAACGGAATTTCTGGAATTTCGACCACATACGAAGTGCTTTAGGCAAGAAGTATCCCCGGCCTAAATCTTATAAGTAGTAAATCCTAAGTAGTAGGTAAGTATTAAATCTGTTCTCTTGATTTAACTGATCTTTGACTTCCAATTTGATAACCGACATATAGAGAATAATACATGGGCGCGCGTAGATATAGAATTTCTCTTCGAGTGTTCAACTCGATAGCTCACAAGTAAGATAGCGAGTTAAACCACAGGCGGCCCAAGCTCCAGCTGTGAGATGATCATCTTGCACAATAACAGTCATGGCGGAATTATAAGAGTTTGTATGGGCATATTTACGACCGCCCTCAGGAATAAAAAAAATACGTCAAATTCTCAAAAAAAAATACCTCACCTTACTTCCACAGTGTATCATTTGTTATCTGACCGCTTACTTTGATGAAAAGAGCCCATTTTAGCGAGTTGTTCATTTCGACGTTTCAACGTACATAAGAAAAGGCTCTTCTTATGAACGTTGAAAACGTCGAAATGGACAACTCGCTAAAATGCGTCCTTTTCATCAAAGTAAGCGGTCAGATAACAAGCGTTACGCTGTAGAAGTAAGGTGAGGTTTTTTTTTTGAGAATTTGACGCATTATTTTATTCCTTAGGGCGGCCGTAAATATTCCCATACAAACTCTTATAATTCCGCCATGACTGTTATTGCACAAGATGATCATCTCACAGCTGGAGCTTGGGCAGCCTGTGGTTAAACACGAGAAGAGAAATTCCATATCTACAAGCAACCATGTATTATTTTGTTTATCATATAAACACAATAGCCCTTTACTGACAAGTAAAACCGACTTCATTAATGAATAAAAATAAATTAATCGACAATCCCCAAATAACAATCGTAGAGTGCGTTGGTGCTAACTTTTAAAATGCGTTGAATCGTGACTACTAAAACAACAATGGTCCTAATTTTCAATTAAGAAAATTCTCATTTATTGACTTTGTCCTGACCGACAGAAGAAGTCTTTAGGTAAACGGCCAAATTTCTCTGAGTTCTAGACCCGACAGTTAGAGTCTTGTATTGTCTCCGACGGGAAAGTTTTCTTTATTAATTCCCTGTGTGCAGAAACCGTATGAGATCTGATCACACGCATGGCTGTGGATTAGATTGACTAAACCATGAGTAGAACCCAGGCGAGCCCACCGGATAAGATGAGCTGAACCTATTAATGAATGGTGTTAAAAAATCATTGCTTAAGGAATTCGGAGACGTAGGTTACCGTCGGAAGGAGGAAACCGATACAAAGAAATAATAATAAAGAGGCCAAATGTTATTGAGCAAGCTTCTCTTGGTATCATTCTGGGCCCAGTTGTTCAAAGGGATGGATACTAAACGCCATCCCACGGATAAATTGCTATCCAGCGGATAAGTGTTTACAATTCGCGCTAAGGTATCCACCGTATAGAGATTTATCCAGTGGATGGCGTAATCCACTCTTCGAACAACCGGGGCCTGATGTTTTGCCGAGGAATTTTTTTGCCAAACAACATTATGATTTTGGTAGGCCTTTCTTCGTCAAAATCGTCTCTAGCTCGCTGCAATCCAACATGGACTACTACCGTCTGAACCTGCTATCTATATAAACAGGGCAAGTATTGTTTATAGGGTTTAAGTACGACTTAGTAGACGTCTTTGCCGGATGAGAAAACAATATCATTTTCCTCGTAGTTTGCCTTTCCACAGCCACACAAAACAAAATAAGCTGCTGCGAATAAGTAAACTTTGGAGGCCACCATTTCACATACAAATACTGAAACAAATCGTATGTGAACTTTTGAGGCCCACCTATTTTGTATAATTAAAGATAACTCTGATACTGGAGAGTTGCCATCTTCTGAGTATCAACTCGTCCAATTTTCTGACGGTATCGTTCTGATAACTTTTTCTATTGTTTTTCACCTCATCAAATGTTAACTGTTGCCTGGTTATATTTTTGTTAGTTTTGAATAAGTTGTGTGAAGATAAAAACCTTTGTCTGATATAATTTTTTCCGTTTTATGTTTGCTTCCTTCAGCTGGCTGAAGGTGAAGCAAAACGGGAAATTCTATAATGCAAACTCAAAATACTGACACAAATGTGGAGGACAAAATTTCACGTTTATGTATTACAAAATTTTTAGGAAATCAAATTGACGTTCAGACGAAATAACTTCACTTTGACGAAAAACATCGGTATTTGAGTTTATGTACCTCCTAATTTTTCTTCGCTCTACGTTGCTGCATATAAAGACTGAAACTGAAGTAGCACTTGGAGATAGGCGCCTACCGTGAAAAAATGCAAAGTAATTCTAGGAAATATAGACCACATCGCGGGGCCCAGAGATCCAAGCTTACTTGAAACTGGATATGAAGAAAGATGACAAATGTTCATTCCATGAAACATACGTGATGGAAATATTATTTGTGTGATCGAAAATGAACGATAAGAAATTGGTTCCAATGACTTCAGCATATCCTGACTTGTTTTGAAAGGAATTGTAAGGCCTAAAATTGGACCTTGCTATATTTCTAAGAAACTCAACAGCCACCCGGTGAATGCGTGTATAATATATGATCGACGCGCTTTGTTTTCATGAACTTAGTTTTGCGAAATGTGTTAGCGATCATTCAAGAGGGCTGCTATAAAAACTTGCGTAGCTCAAACGTACAGTTCATGATCGTTTGTTTACCAATACTACTTCAGTTCAGTCTGCTATCATATCAGCTGGATTCATTCGCTAACCAAAAGCAGGCGCCAACAATCTTTCTATGAACCGATCAGTGACTAAATTCTTTAAAACATTTTCGATAATTATGACCACAATTAAAATTTTCAGCGATTATGACTGCATGTCGCACCAGCTCATCTAAACTTGCGCCACCTTGGAACAAATTCAGCAATAAAAGAATTGTCCCTGACAACTGGATTTCTTACCAGGAACCCAAACGCAGTGAAATATTTAGGGGCCTAGACTGGCCCATCAAAGAAAACGTCTTTGCGCTTACCTTCATGACTGATCTTTTCCTTCAGTGAAGAGAATTTTTTCTCCAAAATACAGTCAGGGTGCGAGGATCTTTGGTTCTATGCAGTTGCTTCATCAAGGGATCTGAAATGTTTCTCCGAATTAAAAGCGAAAGACAACATAATTCAATAAATATTAGGGGAATCCCCCGGTAGGGTGAAGTATGAAGGGGTAAAAAAAAAGGGGGTGGGTTGTCATCAATACACCAGGCCTGACCCATCCCCCTTCTCAAATTTTCTTAAATATTCTTTATCCAGTTTGCTGGTGATGCATATCTATGTGCAATCGTAACAATAATGTCCAGTCTGTCTGCATTTAATCTGTGACAATGCATCAACAGACTACTGTTTAAAATTAAAACCCTGCAACGTATCTATATGCAAAGTGCATTCTTGACTAAATGAGAGATGCAATGATTTGTGACTGATTATTTTTCCGAACTCTATGCTTGCTGCGCGGAAGAAATTTCCTTACAAAAAATATGTGGGGTGATGGGAGGACTGACAGCCGCTCCCCCCCTGCTACACCTCAATAATACATGCTATTTATCGCACAAATTTCAAAGAAAAGCTGGTCTCAACGCCCATGACGTTGCATTTTGGCAGGTTGCAACGTGTATCTCTGCTTTCACTTCCAAATTAATTGTTTCTTGTTTTGAAAACAATGGGACCACAGGCTAAGAAGGTTTCACTTTGAAATACAAATTGCGACAATATGATGTACATGAAGACGACGATCGTTGGGTCTGTTGCTATTTACTGATCATGTTTCACGAAAAATAACTCACCATGAATTAAACTATCTTTATGCGCTCATTGAATTGTCATCATAGATGTCGTTTTAAATTTACAGCTACGCAAATCACAATCTAGTTTAACCATTTGTCTGTAAACTTACCAAATCTAAATCAAAAGACACTAAGAAGAATACAACTCATCAATACTACATTTCATTTTTTACTTTGACCTCAGAATCAACATAACTTCAAACAAGGCCATATCTATAGTCTTAACTATCCTTTGCCTTTGTGTTACATTTACAACAATTTTCCAACTTATTTATCACAAATTCTCTTCTCTGTTAAATTATACTTAAACTATGAAGGAAATGAATATCAAATGACATAAATAAATAAAAAATAGCAAAGGCCTTTTAAAGAACACTGAGATTCATCAGGTTAGACAATAATGGTTCTTTTATAGTGAAGGTGTGATCTCCACTGTATTAAAAATAATCACCTTTTCTTCTATCATTTTACTTGATAAAAGAAAATATGTATACCCTAGGTCAACTTTTCTTAAGGAAAAGGAGAAGAAATCCCCACTCATAGGCAGCAGAGGTGATTCCCCATTCGTATGACATGAAGTTTTAAGGGTGAACCAGAATCCTATTTCAGTGGCTTTTCTTTTTTTTTTTTCAGTTGAACTCTTAATGTCTTCAAGTTCAAAAGTCGTCACTCTTTGCTTAGTAACGACTACAAAATTACCATTTGGCACTCATTAAGGCCAGGCTGTGTATGGTCCACAGGAAGACGCACAACATAAAATTTTGCGCATGAACCTCCAGTTACTGATGAATTATTACAGGATACACCATGCAATCTTGCAATAAAAATCTGATAATTCTGCAGCTTATTCATACTTACAGATACTGACACTTGACACGAGTTGTACCAATTGGGCTTGCATCTTGGTCATACTATAAAAAAAAGACAGTTAATATAACAGTTGAAAACAAAGTACCACAAGAACCATGAACACCTACAGTTCATATTAACTGTTTATTCCATAGTGATCAACCAATCATATTACAAACAAAATGAGATCTGCAAGCCCACAGTTAGGCTCTCTTTTGCATCGTTGGTTTGTCACTCTCGAGTTTGTAACATATTCCAGGAATATTTCTGGTGTTCATAGGTTTTCTGAGCTTCACAGTGACAGCTATTCAAGCAATTTTTGAACATGGTTACTACCTGATCTGACACAACTTGTAAATCAATGACTAACTTTTTATAGCTAAAAAAAACATCAGCTACTTACCTCTTCACCAATACATTTTTGCCATGATCTGTGGGTTCCCTGCTGAAATCCTCATCCATGCTGCTATTAAATTATACCCCATGTAACAATACCTAAGAGCTGTTTGTTGTGAGGGCTGTTAGTTGTGCAAGAGGAATTAAGCTTGTAGAATTCAGAGAGTTCTAGTAAGGAAAAAAATTGCTATTATCTAAAACAAACTTCAAGAAGAATTATATCTTTATATGTTATTTAGAGGAAAACAAATCAATTTATGCCAGCAATTAAAGAACATTTCAACAACTTCAATTTGCTGCACAACATACATATTCTACTAGTCTGAGGGAACAATGACACGTGTTTGAGAATATAGATCTGGCCTGAAAGTAAGTTGACATTCACCAAAGTACAGTTGAGGTTTGTTTGAGTCACTCATGTTTATCATCCTGTCTGCATGAGAAGCTCCTTATAATGCAGAATTCTTGATCAACATCTTCTCAGCATTAGTGTAATATGAACTTTCATGAAGATGTTTGTCTTCTGAGCATCTTGCTAAGAATGTGTTGGCCACTCCATGGGCCACAGGCCAGCAACTTGTTGAGGTACCAATTAAGTCTTCCCAAGAGTAAAGTGAAGAAGGTTCTGGGCATCTGTCTGCTTAAGGAGGTCTGTCACTTGGTCTGGCCCCCTACATGCTCCTATTTATTTGACTGATTGCTCACATGAGGGTCTGACTGATCTGTTTCTGTGTCCTTCTGAGCAGTGAACCTTGCACCTGAAACATTTTGCTTGTGAGCGTGTCTCCATTGGTTCTTGCTTTAAGCTATCTTAGGCTCTATATGGTAAACCAACTGCACCATCTACAGTGTCATTAAAGTGATGATTAGAATAGAATTGTGTCTGCACCATCAGGAAAAGAACAATCATGTGCGCCTTCTTTGTCACTTTTGCCATGTGTGTGCTCCTTTCAGCTTCTCACTCTCAACTTGTTCACCTGTAAATGAAGGTGACCAAGACCTCTCTCGGGATTCCAATTCAACACTTGGCACATCAAATGATTGAGACAAGCTTGAGGCTGAATCACATCTCTCCTTTGAGAAATCCACATCTCTAACAGAACTAGAATCATTCACATTCTCTGCATGAAAAGTAAGAGCAGCTCCCTCGCTATCACTGATAAATGAGCCTACACTGGAACTGTTACAAACTTCATCCTCTTCATCAACTTGTCAAGTGTTGTCAAATATTTCTTTCCATTCTTCCACTTCATCGCATTGTTTACCACTGACACCAGAAACACTTTCAGACACTTCATCCAAGTGTATGCTCTCTTGAGGTGAACAAGTTTCCCTTCTACATGATTCTTCACCATTGTGAAAAGGTCCAGCAAGTTTCTCGACAAGATCAAAATGATGGATTCTTCCAGTCAAAGTCATGTTTTGGCTGTAAAGTAGGTCACCTTTCTTGTACTATAATAAAAATTAATGCCTCAAAAGCTAGCAGTCTCCAGTACCCCTTCTCCTGATCAAACTGACCTGATTAGTGCTTAGCTACCAACAGCCCAACAAACACACAAAAGATCTCTGTATTTTCACAAAAAATTCTGTTGAAAATCCGACATAAATGAAAAAAAATACTGGCTGACCAATACCAAGGTAAAATCAAACATCAGTACCACTCAAAAGTAGGTCCACAGTCCAAACTTGATCCTAAATTCTCATTCCTAGATTCTCAAAACCTTTAGAGATCGAGGCTTGAGTCACCTTTTTAGACATTTGAGTCAAGTTTATTCACAAATTGAGACAAAATTCATTGAGTTCATATTTGTGCCACCTTAACAGCAACACAATGCATTTCAAAAGTGCAAAGTTTGTATTAGAGGGAAGATGTATAATTATTGTGACTCCTATCTACAGTGCAATAGTCACAGCAGCCATAAATAGGTTACAAGTTATATACATAGATGTACACACAGGGTTGTAAAAAAGATTTTGAAAAAACCGGTTTGTGATACATAGTAGGCGGAACAATGTCATTCTTCCAAGCTGAAAATTGACCCACAAAAATTGGGAATGGTCAGCATGTTTTTCAGAGTAAACAAAGAAAAGTGCTAATTGCTGGGTTAATTATTTTAACAACCCTGACATTCCTAGTGGTACTACCAGTGAGTCTATTAATAAACAAAGTCGTTATCTGATTCTCCATTAGACCTTATAGAATTCAACTTCATCTTGCAATTTACAGAAAAGGTTGCTATTGATAATCAGTGGTGCCTTTGCCATACTCTCTTTCAGCTTTACCAAATGGTTTTAAGATCTGCACTTTATGTTGGAGTTCAGGTCAAACCTGCATAGGAAATGATTGATTCCTTCCACACATTATATACACACAGTTCAGCACCTTTTTAAAGATCCATCTGACATGTGATGACAAAAGATGACCTGATCAGCTGCAGTGTAACACTAACTCTCACTAGTGATTTACAGTGATGTTTAAAACTAGACAAGAAAAGTAAAATTAGATCTTCCCATACAAAAATTTGAAGCTTGACAGAGCCTGAATACAGCCTGATTACTGTTCATAGAACCAGACATAGCCATGACATCTTAGTGCCTTTCCTTCGATGACCACATACAGTTCCTATCAAATAGCCTGTTTATGTTTAAATCTGTTGGAGCTATAATCTAATATATTTAGAGATGACTCACTAGACACTGAATATTGGCAAAAATGTTTGCACAACATCAAGTTTTTATCATTTCAAAAGGTCAGCCATTATCATTTCCAAAGATTCTACAGTATTAGGCCCAAAATTAGAATATATCTGCCTTCCATTAGAGATGATGATGCCATGGTAACAACACTTTAACCTAAAAATCCACACCAAAAAAACAGAAGCCTTATTAAAACATTAGCTGAACTGGTAAATCTCAAGTGCGAAATTAACTATTTAATTCCTTTCAGGATTTGTACTCTGGGTGAAGGGGGGTTAATTCATAAATACTCTTGGGACTGAGCCACTGTAAAAATTTAGTTTTTACTTTAGTTCAATCAAGCAAATCTGGTTTGAAGTACATGGATACCACAAGACATATGCATCAAAAGTGTCCATATAAATATCAAAATTAAGAACACCAAACACCATGCTATATATAATT